GGCCCACTTCCTGCCCCCGCCCCTCGGGCCCTGGCAGCGCTTCCTCTGCGGAGCTGGGCAGCCCGGGCCCTGGCAGGAAGTGCCCCCGCCCGCCCTCTGCTTCCCACGGTGGCCACTAGAGGCCTCTCCGCCCTCGGGGACGCCAGGACTCCAGGCGCCTGGCCTGCCCCCGTCCCAACCCCAGGGGCTGGAAAGATGAATGCCTCTCGTTCGCCCCTCTCCCAGGGGTACACCCCCGCCCACACACACACGGGAGAAGGGAGATGCCCCTTCCAAAGACTGATCCCTGGCCCCCCATCTCCACCTCTCCTACCCCTCCCACCCCTCATCCCCTTTTGAATCCAGCCTCAAGCCTCCCTCCTGGTACCCCAGGTGCTAATCTGCCCCCCAAGTCTCTGAGGGTGACCTGCCTGTGTATGATACTGCCCCTTTCCCTTCCCTTGCTCCCCTCCCCTTTTCTCTGGTAGAAAAGCGCTGGGAAGCACTTACCTGGGAAGAACCTGCAGTGCCCCCCTCAGTTCCATCAGCTCTAGTGTGAACTGGAGCCTCAGAGCCTTTGGTTGAGTTAATATCCAGCTGGCTTCCCTCTGCCCTTATCCTACTTGGGGCGCGTTGGATTTCCTGCTCTCCATGGAAACGCTATCCCCCCGATTTGCATCCCAGAGGCCCAGGTTGGCCGTCAACAGGGCTCCCAACTTTGAATGAGACCTCAGTCAGCCTACCCCCCCTTCACCCACATAAAGTTCAACTTAACCACACACATCCACACTTCCGGTGTGCCAGGCACCTTGCCAGGACTGGGGACACGCCATGGCTAGGGTATGCCTCTGCTCTCAAGGAACTCACACCCTCGTGTGGAGAAAGACACCTGAACAGACTGTCTGAAACCTGAAATGCTCCAAAGGTAGTTCAAGAAAGAACATGAAACACTGGGAGCACAGGGGCACCTCACCTGGCCTGGGATGGCCATGGAGGGTTTGGAAAACGCATCCTGAGGAAGTGAGTCTAAGAGGAGTTTTCGAAGGAGGAGCGAAGCAGGTGATGGTGGCTTGAGCAGGCAGATGCACCAGAAAGGAGGCCAAAGAGCCAGGAGCCCATCACTGTAGGGAGTGCGGGAAATGACAACAGTTTTGGAATTGTACATAGCAGAGGTGGGGTGGGGTGGGAGATGATACTGCAGGAGGCAAGAGGGGCCAGATAATGCAGATCTATAAGTGGACCAAGGGAGTGGCCTTTTTTCTTGCAGGCAGTGGGTGCCTTTGAGGCACACAGGGACACTGAACAGAAGAGGGGTGTGCTCAATCCTGGCAGCTTCACATTGGAAGCTAAATCGGGTAAGGGACAGGAGACCTTATTGGGAGACCACGGTAGTGGAAGATGGAGAATGCAGACTTGAACTGGGGCATAGAGGCGGAGTGAAAAGAGAAGGAAGGATGGGTGGGTGGATGTGAGGAGATAAACTTGGCAGGAAGCTGTGGCTGGCTGGCCCTGGGGACTAGGGTGGAGAGGAGGAAGGCTTTGGAGATGTCAACTGAAAATGTCTCTAACTGAGCACAGTATGGAACAGATACTATTTGCCTGTTACACACACACATGCGCGCAGAGCAGAGGGAACATGCACCTGATACAGCACTGTTGGCAGGAATGTAAACTGGTACAACCTCTTTGGAGAGTAATTTGATAATACTATTTTTCAAAAATATCTTTTAGCCCTGGCTGGGTAGCTCAGTTGGTTAGAGCATCATCCTGATACACCAAGATTGGGGATTTGATCCCTGGTGAAGGCACATACAAGACAAACAATGAATGCATAAATAAATGGAACAAGAAACTGATTTTAACTTCACTCCTCTCTCTAAAAACAGGTAAAAAATAACCATATTTTAAAAAATATTTTTAAAATGCTGATACCCTTTGATCCAGGAATTCCACTGTTAGGAATTTATGCTGTAAATAAAATGTATATACATATAACCTTGTACGTACCCAGGTATTAATTGCATCCTTGTTTGCAATAGCAAAACACTTGAGATAACCCAAGTGTCCATCAGTGAGGGACTGGTTAAATAAATCTTGCTCTATCTATACCAGAGAATACCATGCAGTCTTGAAAAACAGTGAGATGGAACTATCCAAGCAGATATAGAAGCATCTCCAAGATGGAACTATCCAAGCAGATATAAAGGATCCCCAAGATAGACCAGAAAACAAAACAAAGTAAGATTCATAACAATGGTGATGGTGTATTCTCACTAAGGAGCATTATAAAAATAGACATTAATAGCCCTGGCTGATGTGACTCAGTTGGGCATCATCCGGAAAGGTTGCCGGTTCCATTGCCAGTTGTGGGCTCAATCCCCCGTAGGGGGCATGCAAGAGGCAGCTGATCAATGTTCCGCACTCACTTCGATGTTTCTCCCTCTCCCTCTCCCTTTCTCTCTCTAAAAATCAATAAAAATATATTTTAAAAAATAGACATAAATATACATATATACGTTTGTGTACTGCAGTAGGGTAACAAGAAGTGGGAATTGTGACTAATCCTGAGGAGCAGAGCTGGGGGACTGTGGGAGTCATCTAAGATGGAAGGGACTCATTTTTACTAATATCTGCTTGTCATCTGGTTGTCTTTTGAATTATTTTACTAGGTACAGTTATTAATTTTTTTAAAATAAAAATCAGTTTAAAATAAAAACAGTCAACTTTCTAAACATAGTATCAAAACAACTCACAAATTCCATATCTTTCCTTCGAACAGTCATTGCATGACTGCTCTGTACCAGGCACTAGGATACTGCAGCGAGCTAAACAGAAACTGTGGGGGAAACAGAGGAAAAAAAATAATTACAAAATGAGAAATATAAAATGGTAAATAAAGAATTATAAACTTTCATACTGCCCAGCCAGTGTGGCTCAGCAGTTGAGCATCAACCTAGGATCCAGGAGATTGCGGTTCGATTCCCGGTCAGGGCACCTGCCCAGGTCATGGGCTCGATCCCCACTTGGGGGCGTGCAGGAGGCAGCTGATCAATGACTCTCTCATCATTGATGTTTCTCTCTCTCTCCCTCTCCCTTCCTCTCTCTCAAATCAATAACGATATTTAAAAAAAAAAAAAAAATTTGTACTGCCAGTGCCAAATTATCACCCTGCGGTGACTTCTGATCGCAAAGTGGGAATGTGTCTTTACAGTGGGAATACCTGGCAGTAACCAAGGGAGCAAACTTGGCATCACTCATGCTGGGACAACTTGACATCATATACCCCAGTGCCATGCAATGTAAAATACACGGCATCACCTCTGCCCATGCTCCTCCAAATGTGGTGTGAAGACTGGCAAGCACATCACCCTCGCCTGAGAGCACGTCGGCAGTGTAGAATCTCAGGCCCCACCCCAGACCTATTGAATCAAATTCTTCATTTTAAAAAATCCCCAGGTGATTCTTACAATGTTACAGTTTAAGAAGTGCTGGCCTTTTTCAAGTAGTCTTTTTCCCCCCCCAAATATGTTTTTATTGATTTTAGAGAGAGGAAGGGAGAGAGAGAGAGAAACATCAATGATGAGAGAGAGCCATTGATCGGCTGCCTCCTGCACGACCCCCACTTGGGATTCAGCCCACAACCTGGGCATGTGCCCTGACGGGGAACCGAACCGGCGACCTCTCAGTGCATGGGCCAATGCCCAACCACTGAGCCACACTGGTCAGGGCTCAACTATTCTTAAAAAAAAACTTTAACCACAACTTGTCAAACCTTCAGTTTGTGGGAAATATAGGAGGAAGAGGAACAGGTTAAGTAATACACAAAGACTTAGACAAATCCACAGTGTGAACATTCTACAAGACAACTGTCGTTGGCTCAGATACGTCAGTGTCATAGGAAAAAACCTGGGGACTGTTCTAGATTTTTAAAATACTGAGGATACGAAACAATCAGAGGAAATGCATGATCTTGATTTGATCATGAATCAATAAAAACAGAAAGTTCTTGTGAGGAC